ACCAACCAGTAAAGGGCCTGGTGGAAGAATGACGTGGTTTATTCATGACATAGAAGGGAGGAGTTAGTGGAACAAAGATAAAACCAGAACATTTTCTTTATCAAAGGTGTTTGATCCGGGTAGGAGTTAAACACCAGACTGAGTAAATGCAGAAGGCTGTTGTCTATGTCTGGCTCTTAAGGTTTTTCTCTTAATTTCTTTTTGCCTCTCATCTGTTTCAAACACACACTTCAGACTCAGAGACACGTCTGAAAGTTTGTGTTAGAGGTGTTGTTTTAGCTCTTTCATCTTTGTGGAAGAAAACCTCTTACTGGCTTTTAATGGGAGCCTGAATTCACACAAAGAGATATAAGGTCAATCATTGCTCAGGAGTGTTTGCTTTTACCCCCTCCTGCTCCCCTTGCCCTTTTCTGTAACAGCCTCTAAAGCAGAGGGGAAGGTCTGCTCTGATTAGCAACGTCCTGCTTCTTCCTCATCATATTCCATGGTCACAAACTGATTTTTTCAAGCAGAAGCTATTAAAGCAACAGCACTCCTTATCATTTACTCTCCTGGAGGTGCTGCTGAGCCCACTGGCACATCAATAGTTCCATTTTTGTTATTGATCCGTCCCACTGTTCTTGGGCAGCACTTGAGACTTGCAGACAGCTACAGCTTGCATTAAACTAGATGCTGAAGTGGTTAGATCTGGGAAAAACTTGTGGGGTAATCATGACAAGATATTTTCCAAACCTGCTTTCTCTGCCTCAGCCACGATCTCACAAGGTCATTCTTTCAATAAAATTTCTGCTTAGTGTTTTACGTTATTTCATATTTTTATATTTCATGATTTAATGGCATAGCAGGACCCATGGCATGGTGTGAGCATATCACACAAAAGGCACAGCCTTCATTTTCTTCATTTGCTGTTTTTCAGATCACTTGGCCCACAGTCACTCAAGCCACATTTCCAGTGCCCTGAAATATCCTGCACCCCGTTTTTGGGGCAATACTCCCTTTTTTCCTTATCTCCCTTTCCCCTTCCTGCACTTTCTAATTGTGAAAGCCTTGATCCTTAATTAATACAGGTAATTCCTCCCTTTCTAACATCACATGTTCCCCTTAATTAGGCACCTTTTGTAAACTGTTTTCTCATACTAAAAGCAGAGCTGTCAAACTTTAGGACAAATTTCCCATTAGATCTTTTGACACTGCAATCACAGTACTCCAGGAAACACTCACAAGAAAAAAAGATGCACATTTCTGGGTAGGGGGGGGTACAACAACTCCACAAGCCCTGGGTAACAGTGGGCTTTGAACTTCAGGGCTCTCCGTGGTGTGCAGGGGTATCCTTGGGGTGCTCTGGAGGGTGGTGGAGAGGTTCAGCTGCTGATCAAAAAGCCTTCTCAACACCAGCCCTTCAGAGGAGTGGGGCACAAGCATTGAGGCACCTCAATTGCAAATACATCATGGAATAAAAGAATCATAGAATTCTTTAGGTCGGAAAAAGATCTTTAAGGCCATCGAGTCCATTAACCCAGCGCTGCCAACCCCACCGGCAAACCATGTCCCCAGGCACCACATCTACGCGGTTTTTGAACACTTCCAGGGATGGTGAGGCCACCACTTCCCTGGGAGGTCTGGTCCAATGTCTGACCACCCTTTCAGTGAGGAAATTTTCCCCAGTATCCAATCTAAACCTCCCCTGGTGCAACTTGAGGCCATTTCCTCTTCTCCTGTCGCCTGTTACTCGTGAGAAGAGACCGACCCCCACCTGGCTGCAGCCTCCTTTGAGGGAGCTGCAGAGACTGATTAGGCCTCCCCTGAGCCTCCTTTTATCCAGGTAATTCTGCTTTTTTATATGAAGGCACATTTGGACAGCAGAGCACCTGAGCAGGTCGAGGGCTCTCAGTGAGCAAACCTCCACAACAAATGCCCTCAACTACTTGTTTCCTTTTAAATGAGCATTGCAGCAAATAAACAGTGGGTCTGGCTCATTTTTGAGTTTTTTACAGTAGTGGTGATGTCTTCTCATTATCTGTTGCTATCTGCTCATCCCTCTCCTCGTTTTATTCAATTTTTGTTCCAGTTTCAAAAGCAATATAGAACAAAAAGTGTTCATGAGGGACGGAAAAGGAGAGTGGAAATAAATTTAGAGGAAAAAAAGGAGTTTGGCAAGCCCAAAACTCAGAAGGATCTCACCTCAGTGAGTGGGATTCCAGAGATTGGTTATGCCCACCCCCACCTCTTTAAGTCAATTAATCTTACAATTGAAGCTTAAAGACTGTCAGTTCTAATTTATGCTGTTCCACGTGTGCATGATGGACAATCTGCTTCTGGAGAAACCGTGAGAAATAAATCCCTATTAAAAATGTCATCTTCCATGTGTTAAAAGAAAGCTGGAATGCTCTGGTCAAGGGACAGCAAGTAATGCACTTTATTAATGGAAGGTGCCCAAAATATTCTCATCTGTCTCCTTCACATGGTAGTGACGAATGTCATGAAATAATGAGAATTTTCTGAAGCCGTGAATGCCATAAAAATTCAATGTCAAATGACATCAGGACTACGGTAGGCATCTTAAGGCTCCTAAATGCCACGAGATATTTTATCCTTTATTTTCCATGAGATGGGATATTAGTCATTTGAAGAGCATATTTTCTGCTAGGCAGGAAAATGACATTAACTCTTTGCTTCCCAGTATTTCACCCTTTTCCTGCTATAAATATACAAAAAGGTTTTCTCTTGCTCACAGCTTGATAGAAGCTTTCATGTTCCTGCGAAGGGATCAAAGAGGACGACACAAACATTAACCAGATGATTGAGTTCCTTGAAAGCTACTCAGTGGTACTGACTGCTACAAAGGAAGAACTGCTCCACAAACTTTGATGGCATTAATTTTGCAAAGAATCCCATAAAACGAGAGGCAATCTTCCCCTGCCTTTATGTCAGACCATCCCTGCTTCCCACTTTTGTGTGTGGCTGTACAAAGTGGATGGCTCAGAGAAAATCAAAGCTGCTCTTTCTGCTTTGGGAAGGGCATCAGTTGCTCTGTTTACAGGAGGAGATGGAGCACTTTTGCTCTGTAGAGCTGGGATTCAACCAGATTGGAAGATGTTCCCATCTGCCAGAGCCACTCCACAACTGTTCCGTTGTAAATGGAGAGAAATATGTGGTTTATTGATGTTATCCAACTCATCCTGAAGTCAGTCTAAAAACCATCTGAACTGCACCTCTCAGAAGTCCTCTTCTCACCTCTGACTGTAAAACCAGCTCAGAGATAGGTTTACTTATGGAAAACTCCAAAACCAGTCGATACAAATGCCATTCCAGGTTGGAAACTGGTTTCCTAAATACAGGTAATCTTAGCACCAGCTGAGGAATCTTTCTGGATCCTCCAGTGCATCTCAAACAGCACCAGATGCTCATGGTTAGGAACCTGAATGGAGCCCTCAGTGTTCCTGGTGGAGGTGCCCATCTGTGAGCTCAGTACCTGCATTTCTACTACACTCAACACAGAATTCATCAGCACAGCACATGACACCTAAAGAGCTGTTCAGGTACCTACACACATCCTCTCACAGAATTAAAGGCATCCCACTTTCCTTAGCTTAAGTTCAACATAGCCACAATGATTTATATATATATATATATATGTATGTATATAAAATAGAATCATAGGATCATTAACGTTAGAAAAGACCTCTAAGATCATCCAACCACTAATGCAACACTGTCAGGTCCAGCACTAAACCATGTCCCTAAATGCCACCTCTATATTTTTGAACACTTCCATGGACAGTGAATCCACCACTTCCCTGGGCAGCCCATTCCAATGCTTGCCCTATATATATATATATGACCAAATATATACAATATTTTCCTCATTGCTCTGCCCTGGTGGGATGATGCATTAGGAAAACTTCTTGGAGAGATTTTTTTCCCTGATTAAGTAACTCTGCTGGGCCTCTAAAACCCAGGGAGTGAATGCTGTGCTTGGGAGAGGGCACAAAGCAGGAACAGCAGGCAATTATTCCACATGGCTGAACCAATGCACAGGGGTCTTGTCCTGCAAGATGTGATATTACAGCAGCTTCTGCCTGTTTTCCCTGGGTGTTGACACAGGAGTGATGAACTAGGAGGGAATTTTGGAAACAGGGAGGTCAGAACTAGGACAGGACTCTGGGGATTTTGAATTTCCCTTCTGAGTCTACAAAGAATTTTGGTGTGGCCTTGGGCAAGGCATGTAATCAGCTGGTTAATGAGTGCAATGCTCTAGCCTGTTGAACAGGGGTGATATTGTATCCTTGCTGCCATCCATGTCCTTCATGTGTGTTCAGACTGCAAGGCTCTAAAAGTGGAGACTTATCAGCTCCATCTGTAATCTCCAGTGCAAAAGAGCTCAATTTTCTGTGGAGGCCTGCAGGGATTCCATAACAAAAAGAGTAAAAACTGACCATAAACTACCAGGAGACAAACAGTCCTGCTGCTGCACAGCCCCCTGAGACCTGAATTTTAAACCAAACCTTCCCCAAACACCCCAGTGAGTTAAGAGATTTTCTCCATTAACCTTCTCTGCCCGTTATTTGTCAGGTTAAATTTCTTGGCCTGTGGCCAAATTTGTCATTTCAGCAGAAAAAAAAAAAAAAAAATCATTTATTCTGTGCAGTTTCAGCTTGTTTGTTTTCTGTCAGAGACTTAATTAATGATGGTGCTAAACTGCTCATTTTGTACAACAAACATACTGTCACACAGGTTTATTCAGTTCTCACTGCACAACATCCATATTATTGGATTTCACCAGGAGCTATTTTTGCATCCCTGTGATCCAGAGTAGGTGGTGCAGCAAGGACAGGGAGGATGCTCGGATGGTTTGGGCATCATGTAGGGCTTGGAAACCTCCTTCACCCTGTGGAAAGAGTTTGTTTCTCCCTCTGATTATATCATGGAGCTTCCCCCTGTGATGTGCTGTGAAACCCCACTGGCAGTGAAGCCATAAACAGGTTTGGGGATTTGCTTACCAAGAAAAGAGGTGAGGAATCTGAAGTACTTCGGGCACGGCCGTACCACGACTTCCCCCACCTCTGCCTCAGGCCAGCACGTGATGTTGTCCCACTGCCTCCTGCAACCTGGGGAGAAGAGAAAAGCAGGTGGTAGGACACATTTGAGTTGTGTCTGCTGGATGGAGCAGAGGGACTGGAGCAGGTGTGTGGAGCCCATCACCTCAGTGCAGGTACCTTTTGGAATGAAAGGCACTGAAATATTTCATTTAAACATGCAGCTTTCAGCTACCCCAGTCCCTGAAATTCAGCACTGGTGGCGTCTGTAATTCTCCAGAAATCAGCCTAGAAAGAACAGCAATTTGGTGTAAGAAGCAGGCAAATCAGAGTTGGTAGAGAACAGATTAAAAAGGCAGAAATGCCTAATCAAGTCTCTCTCTTCCTTGCCCTTATCTCTCCCTGTTGCATTAAAACACCTGATCTGAAATGTGAGACACGATCCCCCTTCCTTCTCTGCTTCCCACAAACTTCTGTCATCAGTTTTTTCTTCCCCTTGCAATGGGATGATTGGGCAGGGGCTGGGAACAGCAGGAAGGGGACACGGATGACAATCAAGGGATCAGGAGCCAAATCCCTTCCCCAGAAGGAGTTTTTCTCCTCAGAAAGGGGGAAGGCACAAAACACAGCTGTAGGCTGAGGAGGGACAGTGCTGTGGCCAGGAGATGCTCTCTGTGGAAGGGTGGTGCGAGGTGGGAGACAACCTGACCTATCCAAGCTTGGAATGAAGGGAGAAAACATGGGGTTCTGTAAAAATGAGGCATTTCTGAAGATTTTTCTGGATAGAATAAAAAACTTCCTGGGGGAAAAACATGGCATATCCTTTCTAAGGAGTTATAATGTTGTTCTGATTTCACCCTTTTATTTCTCAAAAGGCATTAGTAATACCCCACACAGGCTGCACTGTTGAATAATGTATCAGTAATACTGAAGCCAAAAGGAGTTGGAAGACTTGAATTAAATAACAAAAAATAAAAAGAAATCAGATACGCTTTTGCCTTAATATGTTACCTATTTTAGAATTCCTAATAGAATTTTGAAAACATTTCTTTTCCCTCCCTTAAATTTCCAACAGGGAGGTGTTTGGGTTGTTTCCAACAGATTGCTGCCTGGGATACACAGGTGGGTTGTCAACAGACCTCCCTTTTTTCCCAGCATCTCTGCTCTCAGTTATTTGTGATGCCCCATTAGATTGCAACACTTCCCCAAATGTGATTAAAATGCTGCTGTTCAGGCCAAGAGCCCAACAGGAGAACCAGGGAGGCGAGAAGGAAGCGCTGAGAAAACGCCTTTCACGTGCAAGCAAAGGGAGCTGTGAGAACCACTGTCAAACTGCACTTCTGGGTAATTATACCCTGCTCTGAAATTCCTCCTTTAAAACATCTTTTACTACTTGAGCTATAAAAAAAGGCTGGTGTCATCATCAGCCTGTGCACACCGAGGCAATGTGCTGTCTCAGATCAATAAAGAGAGCACACAAGAAATGCTTTGAAGCTGAAAAAGAACCCTCAGCTTATTTCAAAGTGATTTTTTTTGCAGGTTTTTTCCTCCCTTCTTTCACGAACAAACGGAACTTTTTAAATGAAGTCCTGAGGTGAGTTTATCAGAGCCTGAAAAATGGAATAAGTGATGGTATCTTTCTCATCCTGTAAGAGTTCATTAGAATTCAGTTTTCAAGTTCCTAATATCAGGTGCAAAGCTCAGTTTTAACAGCCTCATAGTTATCTGCCACCAAACAGCCAGCAGCTCCACAGGTATTAAGATATTAAAGATTCTTCCCTTGGAAAACAGATGATTTCAGGATGGGATATTTCATGCTCTACAATCTTTTCCTCCCTGAACATCAATAAATTATAGTGAGCCCATAACCTCAGGACAGGTTATAATGTAAAATAAAGTACAAGGTGATAGTATCAGATGGCTTTTTAAATATCCTGAATTATAGAGCTGGAGCATTTTTGTGATCTGTATCTCTTTTCTGTGTTGACATTTTTCACCACCACCTGTGATGGATGAAGAAAGCTTTTAGGTGTTCAGTTTTGTAACAAAAAGCTTTCTTTGATTAAAAGAAAGTGAAGATATGCAAGACTGGCCTTGCAGGACAAATAAAGCGTATCTTTAAAAATTATTTCCTCTGTAAATAGATCTTTACAGAGCCTGTTAGATCTTACACCACCATTCTTCCTTATTGCTGCCCCAGACGTGCTGAAAGTACTTGTGCAGCTCCCTGGAATGCTCCAGGTTTTAAAGGTGGGATTCATGTTCTTAAATTTACGCATCTAAAATCAGGAGTGTAAACCTAAAGAAGCCAATGGAAACCAGAGCTCTGTCTGGACCATAGGATCACAGAATCCTGGAATGGTTTAGGTTGGAAGGGACCTTAAAAATCATCCCATTCCACCCCCCTGCCATGGGCAGGGACACCTTCCACTAGCCCAGGTTGCTCCAAGCCCCGTCCAACCTGGCCTTGAACACTTCCAGGGATGGGGCAACCACAGCTTCTCTGGGCAACCTGTGCCAGGGCCTCCCCACCCTCACAGGGAAGAATTTCCTTCTAATATCTAATCCAAATCTCTCCTCTATTAATTTAAAACCATTTACCATTGTCCTATCACTATTTGTCCATGTAAAACTCACTTTTTATCTTTTTTATAAAGTCCCTTTAAGATCTCCCTATCTTTTATAAGGTCTTTTTTATAAGGACCATTTATAAGGTCCCAGAAGGCCACAGTGAGGTCTCCCCTGGAGCCTTCTTTTCTCCAGGTGAACCCCCCCAGCTCTCCCAGCCTGGCTCCAGAGCAGAGGGGCTCCAGAGCCCTTGGAGCATCTTTGTGGTTTCCTCTGGACCTGTTCTAACAGTTCTATGTCTTTCTTGTGTTGGTTATCTAAAGTTCAGTAATTTTTTAGAGATGTCCTCTTCTCTCCAATGAGTAGAAGAGGGCCTGCATGAATAACTCATGTTTAAAGAACTGGAACAATCAAAGATTGATACCTGCAAGATGTTTTGCATCTGCAGTCCAGTGCTTGCTGCTCACACTGTAACCATTCCAGCACAACATCAGGTTAAACTTTGTGCCCCTCCATCCAACCCAGGACACAGACAACCTTTATCAAAGACCCTTCCAGAAAATACCTTTCATTCTCCCAAACTGACAGACTGGCAAACTGCTGGGATCTGGGGGTTGGCAGGCAACATTCAGTCAGGGTGAGAGATGAATACCCAAGAAAATTATTTGAGGACAGAAACTGCTGCAATATGCCTTGGAAAAGGGAAATCTCTCTCTTCCTGGTGGCACCATTTGGTCTTCACGGACGTAACAAAGATGACAAGTTGTTTGGCCTAATTAAATCATGTTTGGTGATTGGTAAGTGCTTCTCCATTAATTAATTATAAATGTTGTCTTTTCCCTTGCACTTGGTATCTGTAGGAAGGATGCAAAGGTGTTTATCAATGCTTACCTGATGCAGCAGGTGCAAATGAGCCATGAATTAACCTACCCTTCAACTTCATTTCCATCAAAAGAACTGCTCTGCTCACTTGTTTCTTACCAAAAGCCAAGGAATACCCACTGCCAAGGGCTGTGCTTTGCTTTGGAAAGGATCACAGGTGAGGCTGGAGAAGCAGCATAAAAATAAGTGTGTGACTTTTCCAAGCACTTACCACATCCCTGGGTATTGGGGTACACTCTTTAAACCCTTGCAATTTTATATATATGTATATAAAGAGTCTTTTTCTCTTCAATTATTTTAACTGTGACTTCCAGACCCTCAGCTCTGTCCTGCTCTTCCCTGGTGGATGGTGAAGTGCTCTCTGGAGCCAAATATCTTCTTCTGGAAGGCTGCAGGAAAGAATCCTTCACAACTCTAATGAAGCTGCCTTTTAACCTTCCTTCAGATAAGCAGATCAAACTGGTCCTCCCTGCTCTGTAAGCCTTGCAATTAGTGTAATCACCAGTGGCCACCTCTCTCTCTCAAAGTGGACTCCTGAAGCCTTGCTCAAGGACTGGGCTGGAGGCCACACACAGGAGCTCAGACCTTTATATCCAGCAGTACAGCCTTCCCCTTTGCAAGCCAAATGCCCCACATGCAAGGCAAAGGCTGCATCAGCCTCACGGGGCTTTGCAGAGCCCTCCTCTAAGAGGTTCTGACCCAGAAGAAGTAGTTGAAGACCACTGACCCAGTCCTGGCTGCAGTGGATTAGGAAACCTCACCACAGCTGCACGCTGTGGTCACCTTTTCCACTGTCTCTGCTAAAAGTGAGTCAGAGCTCAGGCCCTCATCTCCTCTCCCCTTTTAAGGTTAATAAACAAAAATGAGGTCAATTCTCGTGAGCACAGGCACGCAGTGGTTTGCAGAACTGGCAGACTAGAGCATAAAACCCATTTATTTGAGCCCTATCTCCACTTACAGCAAATACACAGTCAGAGCTTATCTAGGAAGCAGCAGAGAATAACTTTCCTTCATGAATAAACATGACTTCCAGAGCTTTGGCACGGCTCTGGGATGGGACTGAGTTCGGCTGAGGGAAGAAATGAATGGCAGCAGGCTGGTGCCAGGCACTCTCTGAACCCAGGTGAACTCCCAGTTCAGAAAAAAACCCCTTCCAGCACGTCTCTTTCTTAGAATCTCAGGATCATTAAGGTTGGAAAAGACCTCCAAGAACATCAACCTTTGAGCCAATACCACCGTGCCCACTAAAAACTCACACCGAGTCCTCCCTAAAGAACAGGGTCACTCCTGGTCTCTTCTGAATGACATTCCCACACATTTTGCTCTTTGAAGCCATGCTCAGATGCAAAGATACCCATTTGTTGCCTGGGGTATCTCTGCATGGCTCTCACTCCCCACGGGAGACACCAGCAAGGCAAAGGCACAGCTCGGTTAAGCCAAGGCGAGATATCAGTGGGTGCCATCACAGGCTGGTGTGTTGCACTGGAAACTCATTTTCACTCCAGTTTGATATCAGCAGGCACTTTCCAAGCTCTCAAGAGGAGTTAGGGCTGTAAATAGCTCTGGGGTGACATTTATTCTCCAGCTGACAAGCTCAGGCAGAAGAGCAGCCTGGGGGCTCA